TCCTCCACCTTCTGTCTGGCCACCTCTTACCTTCTGCTCTCTGCACATCTGGTTCTACTCTTTTGTCGTCTGGGCTGGCGGTTTCCCGCAGGCCCAGCAGCTCTCCTTGTCACCTCCTTACTCCAGCCGTTGCCATCTCTAGCTTTGATCCCTTTATCCAGTTCCTTCACTGTGAACTCTAAAACCCTAAGACCCAGCTCAGAACCGACTCACAGACATACCTAGAAAGAGACGTGTTCCCCATCCTCCCTCACGCTGTGTCCCTGAGGCTGGGCCATTGGTAGTTCTCAGACGGCCCAGGCTTGTGCTGCATGGGCTTTCCTTGCCACTCTCCAGGACACTTGATTCAGCAGGAGAACACTGGGGCCATCTCTTCTGCACCCTTGGCCCCCCCCACCTGCAGAAAAGCACCAAGGAAGGTTTGCTGTGGCCTTGGCTGCGGGCCAGCGGCCTTCTCTGTTCTGTTTTCTCACTCAGTTCATTGGTTCGCTGACATCGCCAGGCACAGGGCCCTGTTCACTCGTGTTTTACATCTGCCTGCCTCCAGACCTCCCTCTGTAACCACAGCTCCTCCTGTGCCTACCAGTGTCCTGCTCCCCTCGCCCAGCACAGATCAGGGAAGGGCTCTTTGGTGCCTCACCAAACCCACACTCCTAGTCAGTTTGGAACTAACTGGCTAATAAAATGAACTTGTATGTTTATTTTTTGCAATGAACCAAGAAGGATTGGAAACCTCCACCATGTGACCTCTGACCAGTTACTTCACCCTGGACCAACTCAGCTGCCCACATCTGTAATTAAGGTGCCCCGAGACCCCACTAGGGTCCTTTTCTGCTGTCCACGTGTGCCTGCTTTTGTGGAGCCTCAGACTTGGCTCCTCACCCTGCCCGAGGCTGCCCTAGGTGTCCTTCCCACCATGCCTCAGATCAGTATCCACCCCCCCCCCCCCGCAGCCTCTGCCAATGCCTTCGCTCGGTTGGCCATCGCACCCACATAGCACAAGTGCTTCTGTCGTTTATATGGCACTTGATGCCATCTCCATGTCTTTACTTTTGTGTGTCCATCCCATCTGGATGGCACCTAGAGGAAAGGATTGTCCCATTGAGTAGCTGCTGTGTAGCAGACTATGCAAGGGGGACCATGTCTCTGTCTCCATGTGCTGACAGTATTAATCCTGATCAGCCTTGTTCTTCCCTGCTCCCTAGTTAGCAGACAGGGGAGTCCCTCTGCCAGAGGCGCTCCTGGGCCCTGGGAGCGGAGGCCCTGCCTTGCACCTCTAACTGGGCCTTCCTCTTGCAGCACTGCAATGGTGTTGACTGGCGTCAGAAGCTGGACTCTCAGCGTGGGGCTGTCATTGCCACTGAGCTAAAGAATAACAGCTACAAGCTAGCCCGATGGACCTGCTGCGCTCTGCTGGCCGGATCCGAGTACCTCAAGCTTGGGTGAGATTCCCAGCAGGGGGCCAAGGACTGGCCTTCTGAGAGGCTAGAGTCTGAGGCTTATCTTTTCCTTCCTCCCTTGAGGAGAGCAGCAAACAAGGTGTCACCATTTAACTGACATTTGACCCCCAGCACTGCCGGCTCTGTGCCACCTGCTCCTGCCACTAACATCCCTTTCCCCACAGTTATGTGTCTCGCTACCATGTGAAGGACTCCTCCCGCCATGTCATCCTGGGCACCCAGCAGTTCAAGCCCAACGAGTTCGCCAGCCAGATCAACCTGAGCGTGGAGAACGCCTGGGGCATCCTGCGCTGCGTCATCGACATCTGCATGAAGCTGGAGGAGGGCAAATACCTCATCCTCAAGGACCCCAACAAGCAGGTCATCCGAGTCTACAGCCTGCCTGATGGCACCTTCAGCTCCGATGAGGACGACGAGGATGAGGAAGAGGAGGAAGAGGAAGAAGAAGGTGTGTGGCGAGCCTCTCTCGAGTCTCAGGGATCTGGGGGCTGGCAAGGGAGCGAACTCTGGAGCCACTGGCAGGGCTTTTGAAAAAAAACCTTTTGAGAGTCCCTGGGACGTTAGCACCCGCTCCAGCTCCCAGAGCTTCCTCCAGAGCCTTCAGAAACATAAGGCACTGAGGGGAGCCAGGTCCTTGGAGGAGCTGCTAGGGTCGGGGGAGCTAGGCTATGGAGGTCCCTGACTATAGCTGGTGCTCTGGACAGGAAAGGTGGGCTCTGGCCTCATAGGATGGAAGCCCTCTCAGGCCTCGCTGGCCAGTGACTGAAGAATAGCCCAGCCCCACRAGGTTCCCAAAAGCCAACTTGGGAGTAGAGGCACTGGACCTCAGAAGCAGCTCACCAGCAGTTCACAGAGGAGAGTGCACATCACATCACACAGTGTGGCTCATTTCTTTTTTAACATTTTGTGTCTTTCAGAGGAAGAAACTTAACCAGATGGTGGTGTGGCACTGGAGTTTGATTCTGCTGAGCCTAGGAGGGCCTTTGGTGCCTGGTCTGTCTGACTCCTGCCCTCTGCCCTGCGGCAGATGGAATAAAGTATAAGTCTTCTTGGTCTCTTTCCCTCATGGTTTGCATCTTCCTCCTCCCAGCAGCCCTTGGGTTAGAGAGTGAGGCCCAGCTGCTTCTGTCTGGCCTTCATTCTTGAGCATTGCTAGAGTCGCTCCTGGTACAGATGAATTTCCCAGAGTGTCCTTTTGGAATCCCTCGAAATAATCCTTTCATAGGCAGTGTTAATTGCGAGGTAAGTGATKGGGATCCCCGCAAGGAGTCCACTGGCACAGCCCTCGGGCCTGCTGGCGTGTACAAGACCAGGCTGTTGCCTTAGAAGGCCAGATGTCTCTGGGTCACCACCAAGGCAGGATCACTGCTCTTGAGAAGGCCACCTTGGAAGATATTGATGGATGTTCCATGGAGTGGTGATTGTGTTGGTTTTGTAAATTGTTTTCAAGCTTGGCTTGGGCAGGTGACAAAATCTGAAGCCAAAGCCCACAAAAGCTGTGTGTCATAAGAAAGCTCTGGTTGTTTCGGCTGAGTCAACTTTTCTGGGTGGATGCTGTTCTGTTCTGGACACTGAAGTGATTACCCTGCTGGATAACCAAGCATTCTATAAGTACCTGGCCACCACTGCTTTCAGAACTTAATGCTAATGGAAATAACAGCATCTTACAAGTGAAATAGATTCAGCTTTGTAGTAGAATTCCCAAAGTTAGAATTTTAATCAAAATAATTGTGCCTCAGGAAGCACAAATATATGTATATATTTTTGTGTGTGCTTTTCTGAGAGTTGAACCCAGAGTTTCAAGCATGTCAGGTGCTCTACACTGAGCCATGGCCCTAGCCCTTGCAAGCAAAAATTGACTGGGGCAAAATTTACTTTGTCATTAGGGATACTGGAGAGAGAAAGCAAAAAGTTTGTGTGGAGTTTTCATGGTAGTTTTAAAATATATAAGGTGTTTGGGCTGGGGTTGTGGCTCAGTGGTAGAGCACTTCTCTAGCACACATGAGGCACTGAGTTGGATCCCAGCACCACATAAAAATAAACAAAGGTGTAAAAAAGTACATATATATGATGGTGTGACAGGTGCCATAAAGTTTCAAGCTTAGAATTAAGACATGTGGCCCAGTCTCAGGATTAACTGGGGCAGGGAGTGGCCAAGGCTCATTCTCTAAGTACTTTGCATCAGATTCTGCATCAGATTCCATTACGTGTGTGTCCTGCACGGGGCTGCCAAGTCCAGTGCTAAAAGTGGTCCTGCACTCAAAACCTAGTAGATCCTGTCTGCAATGCAGGCTCCGCCCAGCTTTAGGGCCCTGAATACATCATCTTACCTCCCACTACTTAGCAAATAAGGTCCTTAGATTTTTTCACTATTCTCCTAGCACCCACTCCAGTGCTTTTTCAAGTGCTTATCATTGGGGTCACTGAGTGACTACAAAAAAGCTTATGTTCTCATGGAGCTTTTCCCTGGTGGTACAGGGTGTGAAGAAGATAGACATGTGGCATTCTTTAGTGGGTGCTTTGGCTCTAGAGACCAGGGAAGTGTTTTCCTAGAGGCCCAGCTGTGATTTTTAATGAAAAGCAGCTCCAGTCATGCAGAGCTCAAGACCAGAAAGTTCTTTCCACACTGTCTTTCCGGAAGAACCCTCAGTTTCATTTCACTGGAGTACACAATGCCCTTAGAAGGTTCTCATCCTTCCCTCAGAGGTGCACCATATTCTGCCCACATCCTGGAAGCCATCTGCCACAGGAGAAGCTGACCTTGATCTGTTCCCACATCTCCTGTCATTGATGTTTCCCCTCTGGGCTTCAATTCCAGGATGTACTTCCAAACTGTGATCTTATGCAAACCAACCGCTAAACCTACATTTGGAAACTGCCCTTTGCTCCTGTCCTGATTGAAGATCAAGTCAGTCGTGCCAGTTGCTCTATAGACACTACTGAATCGCCGCAGCAAAAACTAATTGTTCTATCTGTCCCACAAAACTGAGGAGGCCAATTAGGTTGTATTTAGCCTTGGGCTTCACTGGGAATTTAAAAACACGGGTATTCTCCAAACTCTTCTCCCTTCACTCACATGTGAAGAGGCATAGTTTAAAATGAGTCCCGTGACTATCCCAGATCCGCTCTCCAGTCCAATCCCCAAATGTCGCCAGCTTCAGACCCCCTCTGCTAGCACCGGCAGCACGTGCGCTACTCCCGCGCCCCATCGTGGGGCTGCTGCAGGCCAGCGGGTCCCGGCGTGCTGCGCGCCGAGCACGTGACCCCGCCCCCTGCCATCGGGCGGGAGGGGAGGGGCGGGGCCGCGGCGCGCGCGAGGCTGCCCGCCTCATTCGACTACGGCCTGCGGTCCCGGCGGCCGCGAGGTTCGAGCTCCGCTGGCGCGGCGGCCGGCGGCGCGGGCCCCGAACGCAGCCTGTCCACGCGCACGCGCAGGCAGCAGCCACCCGGGCGCGCGCGGCGAGCTGGACATCCCTGTCTCTGCTCAGGAGGGCGGGGGCGGGGCCTGCACGCCACACCTCCTTCAGTCTCCAGCCCGGGGGCAGGGACGTGGCTGAGAGATTGTGCCGGCGGAGGGTGCCGCGGGCCTGGGGCGCCCCTCGAATGAGCGGGAAATCGGGGGACACCCTCTGCTTCCCCAGGGTGTCCAATACGAAGGGGGATGGCACCTGCGGGAAAGGAGACTGGAGATGAGACGGAAGGGTCCGGGACTCCTGCGAGCCCCAGAGCCCTCATGGAACAGAACGCGTGGGGGCAAGTGAGCTCCAAGGTCCTGGGGTTCCCGTCCCGGCTGCACCTCACGTTGCGGTGAGGGCGCACGCAAGCCCTTGCTTCTCCCTGGGCATCTGATCCCCATTCCTCGGAAAGACAAGGCTAGCACCTGCCCGCACCCGCGAGGTGCGAGGCCTCCCCTCTGGTCTGCCGCAGGATGCACCTCTCCGCCGCGGCCCGGCTCTGGGGACCCCCGGGGCTGCTCCTGACGCTCGTCCTGCACCCGACTCTGTGCGTGAGCTCCCACCGGGACTACTGCGTGCTGGGCGCGGGGCCCGCGGGCCTGCAGATGGCCTCCTTCCTGCAGCGGGCCGGCAGAGACTATGTGGTCTTCGAACGCGCGTCGGCCCCGGGCAGCTTCTTCACGCGCTACCCGCGGCACCGCAAGCTCATCAGCATCAACAAGCGCTACACAGGAAAGGCCAACGCCGAGTTCAACCTCCGCCACGACTGGAACTCCCTACTCAGCCACGATCCCCGGCTCCTCTTCAGACACTACTCCCGCGCCTACTTCCCGGACGCCGGCGACATGGTGCGCTACCTGGGCGACTTCGCAGACAGGCTGGGGCTCCACGTGCTGTACAACACCACCATCACCCACGTCACTCTAGACAAGGACCAGCGGGCCTGGAACGGCCACTACTTCATGCTGACTGACCAGAAGGGCCATACATACCAATGCAGGTAAGGGACCTGCGCCGGAGCTGGCCAGCTGCAGCTGAGGTCTTTCCCAGAGGGACACTTTGGTTACCTGGAGATGTGGGAGAAATGGGAGAAGCAGGGCATTTCTCCCACTCCTGGATCAGACTGAGGTTCTGCTTAGGCACCGTTTCTCAAGTGTGTCCTTTAAATGTTGTGGCAAATTCCTTTCCTCTGGATTTGCCAGTCTTTGCTACTTTCATATTCACTGTGATGCTGGTATCGAGCAGAAACAGTTTATGTGTCCCCAAAACCTATCTTAAAGAGCATTTCCTAGAACTAGTGTCCCCAGAATGCATGATGGGAAATACTGGGTCAAGTGGCCAGCCAGGGTCGGCCCAGTGGGATTTCAGAACCAAACAGAAGTGAGAGGCCCAACAGGAAGTGCTTCCAGTGACCATTTTTAGCTTGCTTTGGCTTGAGAGTCAACTTAATATTGCCTGGGCCCCCAAAATTTGTTTAATCCTCACAAGGAACTGAGGGGGGAAGTTCACTGATCCCATTTGACAGGTGAACACCTGGGGCTCAGAGAAGTTGGGTAATTAATGCTGTGTATGTGGTAGAACTGCAATTTGAGCTCATATTTTTCTAACTCCAAATCCTGTGTTCCATCCGCTGCATCARACTGCTTCTCCTTTCCTGGCCTTTAGCCTTGAACTTGGCCCCAGGCAGGTGCTCAGCAATGTTCACCTGCTCTGTTAAGTAGGCCCAGCATTGCTCCTTGCCTCTCACAGCCCAGGGGCAGAAGACTGTGCTGATCTGGACTCTCACACTTCAAGCAGATGTGCTGCAGCAGAAGGGAGTCAGTTAAGAGCAGAGTGGACAAGGATCAGAAAAAAAGGACCAATAGGGCTCTGTGTGCTCCTTCCACAGGCCATCCAGTTCTATTTTGAAACCACCCTGTGGTCAAAGCATTCTGCAGGCCAGCAGGATCCGACTCCCAAACTGACCACTGCTGGATCTTACACCCTTCTCCTCTCCAAAGAGCAGGACTTCGGAATCACACCCATCTGAGCACAAAGTGGCTCTGCTGCTCTTAGGAACTCACAGGAGCTRCATCTCCTCGCCTGGAGAGAGACCACTCAGCTCACTCCAGGCTGCTTTGAGGAGTAAACACACGCACCAGTATAGGGCCCACCACCCAAGTATTGCTTAGCAGACATTCATACCTAGGAGGCAGGTCAGGAGGGGAAACAGAATTCAGGCTCCATTTGCATCACCAGGGGAGGTGCTTCACCTGATGGCTGTGATCAACCTTAGGTTGATTTTTCAGTTTTCTCACAGTATCACTTTCTCCTCAATCAGAAARCATAATTAAGCCTGGCAAAATGGCCCACACCTGTAATCCCAGCAGCTCAGGAGGCTGAAGCAGGAGGATTGYGAGTTCAAAGCCTGCCTAAGCAAYTTAGCAAGGCCCTAAGCAACTCGGAGAGACCCTGTCTCTAAAAAAATATATAAAAAAGGGCTGGGGATGTGGCTCAGTGGTTAAATGCCCCTGGGTTCAATCCCTGGTCCCAAAAAAGAAAGAAAGCGTAATGAATCCCCAGGATGAGTGTGATGGATGGAGTACACTGTGCGGCATGTGTACCCCTGGGCTGTGAGGTCTTGGAGAGGAAGGTCTTGCAGTATGGGCTGGGTCAGCAAGTGGTCGAGTGAAGAGTGAGTGAGTGAATGAACGTCTGTCACCTGTTAGGGGCCTGCAGTCGGGGTGAAGCAGGTGGTTTTAACCAAGTAATCTTATCGCTGAGAGACTGCACTATCTTTCCTATGTCCTCGCCTGCAGTGTCCTCCTTGTGGCCACTGGTGTGTCAGTCCCCAACCAGGTTGACTTCCCTGGCTCTGAATATGCGGAGGGTTATGAGTCTGTGTCCGTGGATCCTGGGGACTTTGTGGGTCAGAATGTGCTGATCCTGGGCCGCGGGAACTCGGCCTTTGAGACGGCAGAGAACATCTTGGGTGTCACRAACTTCATCCACATGCTGAGCCGCTCCCGGGTGCGGCTCTCCTGGGCCACCCACTACGTTGGAGACCTCAGGTATGCTGCATCCCTGTACTGAAAGCCTGTAGCAGTCCAGGATCTGTGTCACTGTAACAAAATACCTGGGGCTGGTCCACTTAAAGAAAGGAATTTTAGGGCTGGGGATGTGGCTCAAGTGGTAGCGCGCTCACCTGGCGTGCATGAGGCCCTGGGTTYGATTCTCAGCACCACATAAAAATAAAGATATTGTGYCCACCTAAAACCTAAAAAATAAAATATTAAAAAAAAAGAAAAGAGTTTTATTTAGTTCATACTTTCAAAGTGGGAAGTCCAAATGGCCTRGTATTGGCTCTGTCAAGGTCTCCCCTGCCTGTGTCACCTCACGGCAGATGTCATCAGGATCACAGGAACTCAGGAGGGAGCGGTCACGTGGTGAGACGGGAAGACAGATGAGGGAAAGGGTCAGGTTTGCTAAAACTGTCTYGATAGACAGTGGCCTTCTCTAGGCTCCACCTCTGAAGGTCCCCCACCCTCCCAATATCACCCACGCTGGGGACCAAGCTCCCAACACAAGTCCTTGGGGACACGCCACTGCCCAACCCTCGCAAGCCCCAAATGTGGGAAGAACCGCCTCTCCCACCCCTCCTGGCCCCGCCGGACTCACCAGCCCTCCTGAGTCCCCTCCCGTCTCCTTGCCTTCTCTTGGGGCCCCAGAGCTATCAACAATGGCCTGCTGGACACCTACCAGCTGAAGTCCCTGGACGGGCTTCTCGAGTCGGACCTGACGGATCTGGCCATCGTGAAGGACCACGAGGGCAGGTTCCACATCACCCTGAAGTTCTTCCTGGAGGAAACCAGCGCCAACCAGAGTGCTGATGCCATCCCCCTCCCCCAGGACGACAACGACAACTTCGCCATGCGCGTGGCCTACGACCGCGTCATCCGCTGCCTGGGCTGGAGATTCGACTTCTCCATCTTCAACCAGTGAGTCCCCGGGGAAAGAGGCGGGGTCTCCTAGGAAGCACCTTCTGACCTCCTGGGGACAGGAGGCCACACAGTGGGCCATTGAGAGAGTTTTCAGAATGTCCCGGAAAGGTCTGAGTAGGTTCCCCCTGGTTTCCCTTTCAGCTCCCAGACCCTCCATCAGGGGTCCTCCCCTGAGTGGTCAGGTGGGCGGTCAGGCCCAGACGGGTGAGCTTCTCCAGGGCCATGAGCACAGGCCAGGTCAACCTGGCATCTCTGCTGGTCACATCTGGGCGCCCTCGGAAGGTCACTTGATCACAGTTTGCCCCAGTTCTTTATCTCTGCCCTGGGGATACTCGTTTCCTTCCTATATGGTCATGTGAGGATTAATATAAGACAGTGCTTGGCATATGCTGTATGCTCAGTAAAATGTCAGTTCCTGTCTGGCATGATGGCACACGCCCGTAATCCTGATGGCTCAGGAGGCTGAGGCAGGAGGATCTCAATTTCAAGGCCAGCCTTAGCAATTTAGTGAGACCCCATCCCAGAATAAAACGTAAAAAAGACTATGGATGTGGTTCAGCGGTTAAACACTCCTGGGTTCAATCCCTGGTACCAAAAAAAAGTTWATCTCTGAGCTGGGCGCAGTGGTGCACACCTGTAATCCCCGTGACTTGGGAGGCTGAGGCAGCAGGATCACAAGTTCAAGGCCCTAAGCAACTCAGTGAGACCCTGTCTCAAAATATAAAAAAAGGGCTGGGGATGTAGCTTAGTGGTTCAGTGTCCCTGAGTTGAATCCTTGGTACAAAAAGTAAAAAGTTCCTAAAGTTCTTCATAATGGATTTTGAAGGACTGCCTGGTGGAGCCTGGTCTGTAGAGGTTGCTACTCGGACACGTGTGAGGGTTGGGCCAGAGCATCTGCTCATTCTCTCTTGCCTTCTGGCCAGGGCACAGGAGGACAAGGGCCTGCCCAGAGCCTCCTTTCCCCTCAGATGACAGCAGGCCTCAGGTTTGGCCCAGAGCCTAGCCTTGGGCCAAGCTTGGATTCGAGCTCTATCCCTGACCTGCATGTCCTTGATCTAAGCCCAGGTGCTTCATCTATGAGATGAAGTGGGATGGGTGGAAAACCCACTGTCTGGAAAGGGCTTCCTCCACACGAGGACTGTGACTGACCCCTTTCCACTCCCAGGTCCCTCAGACTCAGCTCCGGGAGCGAGTTCAGCAAGAAGTACCCGCTGATCAGAGCCAGCTATGAGTCCAAAGGCAGTCGCGGCCTCTTCATCCTGGGCACCGCCAGCCACTCGGTGGACTACCGCAAATCAGCTGGGGGCTTCATCCACGGATTCCGGTACACAGGTGAGTCCACTGTCCCCAGGCAGGACCCGTCATTATCCCTGAGGCTTGTGAATACTCCAGACCTCCAGAAGCTTAAGGGACTGTTCACCAGCAGTCAGTGGTCATAGCTTCCTGTTAGGCARCTGACCCCAGGTTTTCATGGCCTGAGGGTCACCTAGAAAAGTAGCAACAGATACAGCATAAAGGTGGGAGGCTCTGGGGTGGCCTGTGTTGTGCTTAAAGCCTGAGGGGTTAACAGATTCTAACGTGCTTGTAATCCCAGTGACTCAGGAGGCTGGGGCAGGAGAATCATAARTTCAAGGCCAACCTGTCAACTCAAGAAAGACCCTGTCTGAAAGTAAAGTAAAAATGGGCGGGGAGGTAGCTCAGTGGTAGAGCACCCGTGTCCAATGTCCAGGGCCACAAAGTATGCTAACCTGGATGGGTGGTCTTAGAGGTGACCTTACCCTGGCTGAGCACATCCCTATCATCAGAGGTGAAAAGGAGGTGACTTCTGCCCGCTCAGGGCTGTCCTGAGGCTGAATAAGGTGATTCCTGGGCACCCATCAGCCAGCTGGGTGGCTCTGTCACRCACACTGCCTGCTGACAGATTGAAAGAAAAGTTGCAATCAGATTAAATACTTCTGATTCACAACTCTCAGTACTGAAGGTATAAATTTTCTGCTAACTTGAGAGTGCACATCAAATACTAAAACATAATTTTGAAAAATAATTTGACTTATCGTACAAGAATAATGCCCAACCCAAAATTGATGCCTTGTGATTTTAAGGATAAATGGGAACTAGACAGTGAGAGAGAGAGAGAGAGAGAGAAAGAGAGAGAGAGAAGGGGACTTCCCCTCCCTCTGCCCTCCCTTTCCCTCTTTTTTTTTTTTTTCCTGGGCTGGGGATTAAACCCAGGGCCCTTGGCTCTACCTGGGGGCTACACCCCAGTCCTTTTTATTTTAAGACAGCACCTCCCTAAGTTGCTGAGGCTGGCCTTGAACTTGCAATCCTCCTGCCTCAGCCTCCTGTAGTCACTGGGGTTACAGGGATGAGCCACTAGCCAAATCCTCGTTTTTCTCAAGAAAGCTCTGAGGATCAGAGTTTTGATGACTTTCTCACTGTATCTGGGGCTTGTTGTTAATGGAACTCCAGTTGCTGCATCCCCCGATTAAGATAGGATTACTATGAAAAAGATTATCACGAAGACCAATCAGTAATGATGACATTATAAATTACGTTATAATTAGAGGCCCTGGATTTTCATAGCTTGGCTTGAATTAAAAGGTATAGTGAGCTCCTTGCTCCTCTCATGAAGCACCAAAGAGTAGGTAGAATGTGCGGGATCACTGTGATTTCTTGAGAATAACTGACGTTGGATAAATGTGAATCTAAAGGTTGGATCCTCTTTTTAGCAGATCCCAAGTCAAATATTCATGTTGAATTGCAAATTCAAGAGAGTAGTTTCAGTTCTGCTCGGGCTTCTCCCGCCTTCTTTACCCCTTAACAGAAAAAGAAGTAGATCAAAGCTAGTTGACTAGGATATTTAACTGCTAACTAAGTTTTCCTGGGGTTTGATCCCACCAGTTTAGTAAATTTTTAGCTTAAAGTGTTTGATTTGCATTCAGTGGATGTAAGATTCAGTCCAGAGTTCAGAGCAGAAGCAGTGTGCTGGGCCCAGGGAAGATCAAGCKTCTTGRGGCTGGGGTGTCTCAGTGGTAGAGCACCTGCCCGCACCAGCAAGGCACTGGGCTCCATCCTCAGCACTGCTTATGAATAAAAGTCCATCAACAAAATATATATATATTTAGGCGATGGAAGGGAAATGTTTCCAGCGGGATGTGGCTCAGGGCCCCGGCTTAGTGTGTGGGAGTGTCTGGTGGGAGCCAGGCCACTGACATAGGCCACCCCAGAGCCTTTCCACAACCGCAGAATTTATTGAATAAAATGAATCCACAAGGCCAGGTGTGGTGGCGCACGCCTGTAATCCCAGCAGCTGGGGGTGGTGGGCAGGAGGATTGTGAGTTAGTTCAAAGCCAGCCTCAGCAAGTTAGTGAGGCCCTGTATCAAAATAAAATATAAAAAAAGGGCTGAGGATGTRGCTCAGTGGTTAAGCACCCCTGAGTTCAGTAATCCCTGGTACCAAAATAAATAAATTCACAAGTCGAATCACTTTGTTGGCTTTAATTCACCAAATCCTCATGTCCCTTTGGTAATCGGGGTCTTTTCTTCCTTTCCACTCTTGATTACTAATATGAAGTCACACTTAATAAGAGAGTATACAGGTTCCAGAAAGGCTGAGAAAGGTTAAGGTGGCCACAGGGATTCCAGAGCCTTGCCCAGGGCAAAGGCAGAGAGCAGATACTAGTGACGATTAGATCACAGCCAGAGGCCCTGCTCAGGCACAGAGCTGTGGAGGGTGAGGGCTGGGTGCGGGGCAGGGTGGGCGGTGTCTAAGCAGCCTCAGCAGACAGAGATGAGGCTGGGGCTTCACCAGAGGTCTGGTAAGAGGATGTCTCTGGTGCCTCTCCTGTTACCCTCCAGGTGAGGGTGACACCATTCAGAGGCCTGTTTGATGAGCTCCAGGGCCTGGTTTCACAGTCCTGTGCCCATGTCTCTGATTTAATCCAATGAGTCACAGGCGTCACTCTGGTTTGTTTGTTTGTTTGTTTGTTTTTTGGGTGCTGGGGATTGAACCCTGTGCCTTGGGCATGAGTGGCAAGCACTCTACCAACTGAGCCATATCCCTAGCCCACAGGCGTCACTTATTAACACAGATGATTCACTTACTGGTTTGTGCCTTCTGATTGTGCTGGGCAGCTGTTTGGTAAGTTCAGCATGTCCAGCGTCTGGTGGTTATCTGTCCATTTGCCAGACGAGCTACGGAGTCCCCCTGCCTTAGCCCTGAACTGAGTAGCTCAGGGCAGGCCGCTGCTCTGCAGGATGGAGTAACCCTGCTGTCCTGCACCACACCGACGAACGCGGCCCAGGCAGTCTGTTCTCCACAACTTGGCCCCGGGTTCAATTCCTAGCACCGCAAAAAAAAGTGTGGGGGGGATTGTTTCATATTTTCCAGTTGAAATTTTGTTTTTATATCATTGATTGTTGGAAATATTGTTGGGGTTGTGCAATAAGTTAATCATGTGCAAAAACAGAAATTTAGTAACACCTGCACAGCTGTGGTTTTTTTTCTTTCCACCAACACTGGGGATTGAACCCAGGGGGCTCTACCCCTGAGCCACACCCCAGTCCTTTGTATTTTGAGAAGCTGATAAGCTGCCCAAGGTGACCTCAAACATGGAATCCTCCTGCCTCAACCTCCCCAGTAGCCCAGATCACAGGCCAGCACCACCGTGCCAGGCTGGCTGTGGATGTTGCTATAATAATGCTGTAATTTCTTGAGTTTTTTTTCCCCAGCCCTGGGGATTGAACCAGGGGTGCTTAACCACTGAGCCACATCCCAGCCCTTTTTATATTTAGAGACAGGGTCTTTTTGAGCTGCTCAGCACCTCAAAACAACCTCACTGTTGCTGAGGCTGGCTTTGAACTTGCGATCCTCCTGCCTCAGCCTCCCAAGCTTCTGGGATTACAGGTGTGTGCCACCTCCCTTGGCTGTTAGTTCTTGAATAAGGATACATTTAGTTAAAAATCCTATGAGGGAAGATAAATCCCTTAGGGATAATAAGGGGTCAGAACTATAGGAATTATAGTGGTACTCCRTTTCAGGGTATGATAACGATCATGTCATGGTACCTCTGATTGAGAGTGGTATTATGAATACCATAGTTGTCCGTATGACATAAGTCAGCATTTTCTGAAGAATCAACYGAGGAGGGGGACTTCATGCCTCCTCCTCCAGGTTAGAGTGGGTGGGCTCAGCTGTCGTCACCAGCTGTGGCTTGAGAATGAGTCCCTGCTCCTTGGGGCCGTCAACCCCTGAATCCATGGCTGCCTCTGGAACTGGAGGGTCCAGGGAAGGCCCCACCACAGCCTCGCGCCCCACAGACAGTGGCACTGGCAGCTCCTCGGGCTGCTGAGCGGGTGCTCTGCCGCCTGCAGCTGCTGCCTAAACCAGTTAATTTGCCATTGAAATCCCTAAGGTCCCATTGCTGCCCCACTTGACCTTGACGGTGGTCTGTCATCCCGCTGCCCTTCCCACCTGGCAGGGAGAGGTCATCGTGCCCTGCAGTCCATTCCCAGATGATGTGTGGTCAGGAAGGGGCTGGAGGGCTCCGGCTGTCTGAACACCATCCYGGCTGCCAGGCCTCACCATCCCGGCTGCCAGGCCTCACCATCCCACATGCGCTGCCACCTGTTCCCGCCATCCTGGCCACCACTGCCCAGCCCTCTTGCTTCCTCTGTCCCCATCTTTCCATACACTTCATCCTCAGCCCCATGAAACAGATCCTGTTAGTTCAACTCCATTTTCCAGATGAGAAAACTGGTACACAGAGAAGTCAAGTCACCTGCCCTTAGCCACCCAGCCAGGGGATGGCAGAGGGATTCACATCCACACCCGCTGACTCTAAAGCCACACCTAGGCAGTAAGCTTCCGGCAGGTGGGAAGCAGTCCTGGGTGCACAGGCAACTGACCGCTGTCCCCAAGCAGCTGACAGCCCTCCCGGGGGTGGGACAGTGGTAACCCCGAGGGGTTGCCCGGACCTTGCCATCATTCCACTGAGAAACTGTCCCAAGGGAAGCAAAAGACAGCGAGGCAGCAGGACGTGATGGACGACAGAGACGCCAGACGTATGCTCCCGAGCACTATCCAGGCCGTCCCCGCGGCCTCGCTGGCCCGCCCTCCAGGGCGTGGTGCCCGCGGGAACTGCCTTTCGCTAAGCACAGACCTCGGCCTCCTGGGCTCACAGTTCCTGGGCTCCCTTCCCTCTGGACACTTCCGGAGCCTCTGCAGGGCTGCTGCCCACGGGTCGTGGTACCCCCCGCCCCTTCCCACACGSCCACTGCTGGCACTGCACCTGGCACTAGGGGCTTCGCCTCCCCGGGCCTCGGGCCGCAGCCTCCACCCTCCCGAGCTCTGGCTGCTCCCTCTCCACCCTCAGCTCAGCCACTGYGCCTCAGGAGCCAGGCCCTGGCGCYGGACTCCTCCCGGCTCGTGGCCACCCAGCTCCTCCATGCAAGCCCTGTTGGCRCCTGGCCTTCACTGTCTGGGGCATTTGCTGGTCAGCTGTGGGGGAGCAGGTGTCGGTGTGCAGTGCTCCTCCCAGGGCCYGCCGCCAGCAGCCCCAGGGAAAGGAAGGCCCTCCCTGTCACTTAGCTACCAGCTGYTCCCGCACCCCATGTAGAGATAAGAGCGCCTCAAAATAGCGCTAGAGGCAGGGGTGCGGGAGGGGCGCCACCCAGGCTTTCCAGGTGGGCAGCTCTGGTGGGAACGGGCTGGAGGGCAGCGAGGCTCTGGGTCTGGGTTGGGCCCCTCAAGTGAGGTGACAGTGCCCGGACTTCCACTGCAGAGGGCCTCAGGCAGAGGTGGACAGACCCAGGCTTGTGGCCCCCACCTGGCCTCACCCATTCTTCTGCCTGGTCATCCCAGGGGATGCCACTCAGGGGCATGTGTGCATGGCCACAAGCAGAGAACAATTCCTGTTTGGAATTTGACCCAAACCTTTGCTGCCCCCACTCCGCCCGCCCGAAGGCCTGCACCTCCCACGGAGTGAACGCAGATAGGATCTGAAGAGSCACAGGCCCTTCCTCCCTCTGGCCCTTTCAGTGCGAACCGTCCACCGGCTGCTGGAGCATCGGCACCATGGCGTGGCCTGGCCCTCCACCGAGCTGCCCATCACACAGCTCACCAACGCCATCATCCGGCGCGTGAACGAGGCCTCGGGGCTCTACCAGATGTTCAGTGTGCTGGCCGATGTCATCCTGCTCAAGGAGTGAGTAGCTCGCCTGCGCCCCCAGGCTTCACCCACGCACCCTGCAGCACACCGCTGCCCACTCTGTCTGTGGGGGAGCCCAGCTCTTCCCTCTTAAAATGAGTCAGGGTGGGGCGGGGGAGTGGAGTCAGACAGTTGGTCCTGGGCGTGAACTCTGGGTTTATCCTTTTGCTGTGTGACTTCAGGCAAGTTAGTTAACCTAACTGAACCTTTTTTGCAAAATGGGGATGATCATCTTGCAGGGGCGAAGAAGGAGGTCAAAGTCACTGGTGGAAACCCTTCGCCACCAAGGTGCAGAAACAGGGTGCCCCTGGGAGGTCAGTCCCCAGCTTGGGGTTAAGAGTTCCCATACACCGGCCRGGACCCACTCGGTCCAGGTGCTTATCCATCCAGAACAGGCAGCAGAGCTCTGAGGACCGGGCCTCAGAGGACACCTCGCATAGCACCCAGGGAGCCGCCTAGAGGGGCAGCTGGGGAGGGGACCAGGGAGGGGAGCAGGGGAAGAACTTCTGGCCCCTGGATCGGAGCGTGGCCAAGTCCCGGGACACGCACTCAGCACAGCTCACGTCGCCCTCGACCGCCCTCTTTCACCTGGACACCCAGCCTGTGGGCAGATCCCTGAGCCCCGCCCGCCTTCAGCAGTGTCCAGAACCCGATGGCTCTGGCTGGCTGCCCCCTCTGCTGAGGTCCCGCCACTGGTAGCCTGGGCTGTTCTCCACGCAGTGGCCAGAGGGCCCCCCCAGAGGAGTTGGCTGATGCCTTCTCGGCTRCACGGTTGGCCCAGGGAGACCGAGTGCCCATCACCGAGTGCTCGGCTCCCTGCCGCCTGACCCCTTCTGCCCTGTGGCCCAATCCCCAAGCTCCCAACTAGCTCAGGGCGGCCACTCCCTTCCGGCCTGCAGGGCTCTTCCCTCCAGGGTGCACTTCAGGGTGTGGAGTGTTCTGGAATCTCTCTGAGGTGTGAGAGAGAGAGAGAGAGAGAGAGAGGTGTGTATATAGAGAGAGGTGGTCACAGCAGGCCCACACGGGTGTGTGCAGGCTGGTGCTCCGTGGTAGGGCACTCACCTGGCACGTGGGGGCCCTGGGTTCCACCCCAGCACCAGACAGCAAGGAGAGCCAGCCAGAGTGGACACCACTGCGCTGGCACTGTGGGGAAGGGCCACGTGGCCAGGCAGCCGTGCCCACACCTGTCCCTGGCCAGGGCTCTAGACCCCGTGTTGCCCCCCAGGAACGCCTCGGCCTTCGAGTACCTGGAGGAGTTCCCCATGCAGATGCTGGCCCAGCTGGAGACRCTCACCGGGAGGCCGGCCCGGCACGGGCTCTTCGTCGTCAACATGGAGTACGGCAAGAACTTCTCTGGGCCCGACAAGGATGTCTTCTTTTATGACCGGTCGGTGGGGCACACCGAGGACGCCTGGCTGTCCAACTTCCTCCACCCTGTCATCTACTTCTACAGACGCCTCCCCACCGGTGAGCRGACACTCGTCACAATTCATCCTCCCAGCGCTCCTTCAGCTGACAGAGGGGGCCCTCGGGGACTCTGCCCAGAGACCTGGCTGAGGCAGAAGGTCCGAGAAAATTGCCATTTCCAGATTCTGGCACATACTGTGACCTGCATAGGCCACACTGGAGTGTCATGATCCACCAAGCCCCACACAGGAAGAGGAGCACTGTCATGCCAGTGTCTCCAAAGGACAATGACCACAGTGGGTGAGGGGCTGTAGGTGGCATGTTAGAAGGAACAGGGCAAGGAACTGGAACTGACTAGCACAGGACAGAAAGAGCTGGGCCAAGTCTGTCCTTTCATTGCTGTGTGACGTTGGACTGTTACTGAACCTCTCTGAGCCTGGCTTCCTTGTCTGTAAAATGGGGATGACAGTAGTCCCCTCCCGGTAGGATTGCATGAGGACACATCTGATGACTCACCCGGAAGGGCAGCAGCTCTGGCGCAGCTTAGCTCCAGTGAACAGGCAGCCTGGRGAACGTGGCTTGTCCTTCGGAGCTTAAAGGGCTCCAGAGAAAGAGGGTGGCCAGCTYGGCCTGTTCCCCTGGGCAGGTGGTGCCAGCAGGGGAGGAGCACTGAGAGTTAAAGCTGCCCGAGGCTGGGCTGCKGCTGGCCTCTGGGGAAGGTGCCCACACCGGGCTGGCCAGGTCTGCGCTCAGCGGGCTCCTCACCGGGGTCCCCGGGTGGGAGGCTGGACCAGCGAGCCCTAGACCCTTTCATCCGGGGCTCCGAGCCTCTCGGGGAAGGACAGCTGGGAAGGGCCTCGTTCCAGGGAGGGGGCGGACACCAACCTCGATCTGCGGGTCCTGGCGCTGCCCTCGGGGGCCACAGTGACGGTCCAGGTCCTCTCCCTCTGTCAGCCCTCCTCCTGGAGCCAGCCCACAGCCCTCGCAGGGTGGATGGGAGCGCAGGCTGGAGGGAGCGCAGGAGGCGGGGGACACTGCGTGGCCAGCCTGGCCCTGACCCCCGCCTCCCACACAGAGCAGGAGGTGAGGTTCCGCCCCGCACAGTGGCCCCTGCCGCGGCCCACGGCCATCCACCACGTCGTGGAAGACTTCCTGACCGACTGGACGGCGCCCGTGGGACACATCCTGCCCCTGCGGCGCTTCCTGGAGAACTGTCTGGACACCGACCTGCGGAGCTTCTACGCAGGTGACGCAAAGGGACCAAGGTGGAGGTGCAGGGACAGCCAGGGAGACCAGGGGCCCAGAACTCCAGAGCCCATTGCCCATAAGGGGGTGGGCAAGGCGTTCCCTGCAGCCCCCTCCCAGGACAGTGTCCCCCAAAATACAGCTAGACTGGCAGGGAACGAAGGCAGCTCCCCAGAGCCCAGACTCCACAAAACACACCAACCAAGCGGGGCTGGGTCCCCGAGTGTCACCGCACACAATGGGGTGGGAGAGCCCTGTRTAGAGGCCCTCAGCCAAAGCTTGGATCTCGGGGTGAACAGGCAACAGCCCACGGAGGGAAAGAGGGGATTGTGGCTCAGGAGTTAAGTACCCCTGGGCTCAATCCCCGTACCAAAAAATATATATATATATATGATTTATATGTTATGATATGTAATTTATATGTTATATGATTTACATGTATATATTTATTTTATATATTTACATATTACATAATTTACATATTATATATTTATATATTATAAAATACGTACTTATGTATAAATATGTGTTTTTAACTGATAATCTGCACATACGTGGATGCGCACGTTAATTCACAGAGCCAGAGTCAGACACCCTTGAAGAACGGGCAGCCTTGGAGTTCTCAGCTTTGATCAGACTCTGGTTCCTGAAATTATATCAGAGGTTGGAGTCCTGGGCTCCAAATGCCTGTTGGTCTCCTGAGATTTCCAGACTCTGTGTCAGGGGCACGTTCCCACCTTGACTGTGGGCCCCTCCAATAGGCCATGCCAGGCCATCGGGCTCCCCCCTCCCTTTCTAGACAGTTCTGGACAGGGCGAGCCACTGAGCCACTGCCTTGAACTGGGAGGACTCCTCCTGGAGACGGCCAGCGGGCAGATGCGGCTCCTCTCTGCCCCGCCCCCAGCTGTCCGGCAGCTGCTAGCTCTGGCCTCCAGCTGCTGGGYGTCCGGGCCACCACGCCTTGCAGGGGGGTGACATCAGCAGAAGGTTGTGCTGGAGAGATAGCCACCTCACTGTCCTCTGTCCTCCCTGGCACCTGCTCTCTTCCCTGTTCAGAGAGGACTATCTACCTGTCCTCCGGGGTCCCCTGGTAGAATTCAGAGAGTCAGAGGGACACCATGGGGCCCCTGTCAGCCTGTTTGCCCCAGGAGCCCCACGGTGTCCCCTGTTACGTACCCCCCTACGTGAGATGAGGGGGCCTGGGAGGCGGAAGGCTTCTCCGCAGCTGTAGGAGGTCTCGACCCTCCATGTCCCAGCCTGTCGCCAACTCCCCAGAAGACCCAGCCGACATCCACYTTATCTCCCCTGAGCTTTCATTCAGAGCCACATGAGTACAGCAGGCCCCACTTCTCTTCAGGACACACGTTCCAAAACCCCCAGTGGATGCCTGAGACCATGGATACAACCAAACCCTTGACCTGCAGTGCGTGGTGTGGGCTCAGTCATRTCCAGGGCCTCGCTGAAGTCTTCACATAGGCTCGATGACTTTGGGTGCAAAATGTTGATGTCAGTTGGAACAAGTTTCCGGCTCATGTCACCCACCCGCTGGTGGCATGCCCTTCCGTCCTAGCATGCACGAGGCACTGTGACATGACTTTGAAGCTTGAGTCAACAGAATAACCAGCATGAATTTCTTTCCCATCACAATTTCACAGATAGAAAATGTTCTTACCATAGATTTTAGCAACCACAGCATGTGATTTTTTTTTGTCTTATTAAGTCTAGAACAGTCATCTTTTCACTGAAAAGAAGTATTTTACAGCTTCTTTTCAGCACATCCAAATTGCTATCATGATTGTTCTCATGTTTGGGAGGCATTATCAAGTAAGGGTTACCTAAACACCAGCACTGAGATACTGCCACTGTCATCTGATAATCACGATAACTAAGTAACTAATAGGCAGRTAGTATATACCATGTGTATACACTGGTCAAAGGCATGATTTCCATCCTGGGCAGGACAGAATATTTTATCTTTTTGTCCCCACAGTGTTTAGACAGAACTTCGCATGCAGTATTTGCAACTCAAATACTGTTGCAGGAGGCTTCAGCTCACAATTCCACTGAATTCCCACCACTTCCAAGCAAGTCTCCAGAAGAGAAGGCTGAGGGTGTGCTCAAGAGGAATGAGCTCCTGCCCCAGACGTTTCTTTTCTTTTTTTTTTTTTTTTTAGTTGTTGATGGACCTTTATTTTTTTTATTGATATGTGGTACTGAGAATCAAACCCAGTGCCTCACACATGCTAGGCAAGTGCTCTACTACTGAGCCACATCCCCAGCCCCCCAGTCATTTCTGTGGTTGGCTTTGACCTTGGAGCCTTGTTCTCCCAAAAGGTCAAGGCAGCCTCCTGCTTTCCTATCCTCATGGAAAGTCATGATCCATGACTACCCAGGTCGTGCGTGAGGCACCCAGAAAGGTCAGATGGCAGTTTCAAGGGATGCAAGGTCCTGGGCGAGGCCCACTGAGGTGCCCCAGCCCCCCAGCTTTCCCTTCCTGCACCTCTCCCCACGCCTCCAGCCTGACTCCCAGCCTGACTCCTCCTCCTCCTGCTTTCGTGCAGAGTCCTGTTTCCTGTTCACCCTGACGCGCCAGAAGCTGCCCCCGTTTTGCCAGCAGGGGTACCTGAGAATGCAGGGGCTCATGGGCACCGAGAGCCTTCGGCGGCATGGCGTGGAGAGCGGGCTCCTGCAGGACTATGCCACCATGGACGAGCCCCTGGAGGACAGCAGCCAGCAGCCTGGGGAACACGGGCCAGAAGGTCACCGCCTGTCTCGGGGGCCTCCACTCCAGTCCCTTGACAGCAACAAGGAGGAGCTCTGACGGTCCTGGGCTGTGGGCACCGCGGCCAGGCCTCCCCACAGGCCACGGTCAGCCCTCTCTCCCCGCAGCCCCCTCCACTGATGCATGACGGCCCAAAGCCACTCAGGCCTTGCCAGGTTGACACCAGAGCCACCTGCAGAGCCAGCAGCAGTGGGGCTGCTGCAGCACTGCGGTCCCCCCKGCCTGGTTCCTGGTGCCCAAGAAGCAGGGTGAGGAGAAGGGCATCCTCTGCCGGTGTGTGCTGCCTTCTAATGCCGAGCTCTTCAGCTGGACCATCGCTGAGTGCCAGGCTGGCCCACTCTGTCCCCTTCAAGGGCCCACCTGCTCCTTTTCCCTCCCCTCCACTCTTGTGACAGGCCCAGAGCCCACCTGGGGCCCTTCATGGTGAAACCCACCCTCTTGTCATCAGGGTTTCTGCAGGCACTTATCTTCAGGCGCCCGAGGGTTTGCATGGCGGAGAGAAGTCCCTGCAAGGCCACCTGGTGCTGAGCCGTGGCTCTCCCAGGGCCAGGGTCCTGCCCCAGCCGCTCTGCATCCTGTGTCCTGATCCCCACCCCTCCCCTGGCCTCTGGCRTCCTGAAGCACACCTTGCTTGGACCCGCCCCTGCCCAGTATAGTGAAGCTGTTTTGCACCTGTCACATGYACCAGGGGACATGTGCAGATGCCCCTGGGTGGCAGCAATGGTGAGTCATTCCTGGTTCCCTTAGCTCTTCAGCTGCTCTTGTCCCTCGTCACTGGGTGCCCCTCAGGGGTTTCTCTCGTTCCTGAGGCAAGGCCTGCGCCTGGGCCTGGTGGTCACTTTCTCAGGGCTGCTCACGAGTTCTTCATGCGGCCATTGAAAATTCCAAAGCCCCTTCCTGGGCTCCCCCTCTTCCCTCCTGGCTAGTTCCAAAGCCCCTTAGCCACTGGCCTAGCTGTATGCTCAGTCACCTCCTGTCCCTGGCAGAGTTCCAACACTGCAAGTCCCACACTTCGCCCACAGCAGGGTGACTGTCGCCCCCGTGATCCTACCTGGGACAGTTTGCACAGCGCTGAAGCTCGTGAATTAAGGGTTTTCCCGAATCCCGGGTGTGGTGTTCACTGAATTTCACCCAGATCCGAGGCGAGCCCACGTAGGACCCTGTGGTCCCCCTGCCTTTTCCAAGTCATGCTTTAAATGAGTCTTTTAACTGGGGCTGTGCCCAGTGTCCGATCCTGTTCCCGAAGCCCTGGGGCTAGCTGAGCCACTTGTTCAGTAACAGTTGGAGGTGCCATAACAAGTGGTTGGCGACGCCTCGACATGTGACATCTGCTGCTGCCTTCATCTGCCAAGTCAATCATCCCACCAAAATATCAGCCAGCCTTGTTTGCTTTTAAGAAGGCAGGATTCCATTCTTGCTCAGTTGATTGGCCATGTCTTCTCTGGTTTTCTGGATTTTAATGAAGATCACTGTGGCATTTGCTGAGTCCCCCAGCTGACAGTCACAGCGGTCCCTGCCCCTTCCCTTGGCCTGCCTCAGGTGCCTGTGGCCTCGGGGTGCCGTGTGCAGGTGGCTGCTGCCTTCCTGTGGTGTTAGAGAACATTTTCTTTTTTCTTCTATTTCTGTCGTGGTTTCTGGCCTGGAGTAGGTGAGCACACACCCCACCACCCAGTTCCCCGCCCCGGGCCCAGGTGGGTTTCTAAGACTGCCCTGGCTCTGCGAATGGACATCTTCTATGAAGTTGAGTGTAAGGACAGCGAGTGCTGTCACCCTCCAGCACTGCCAGCTCCCCGGGTGTGGATGAAATGGATTCACATTTCCACTTTTGTACCTCAGTTCATTTTTTTTTTGGCAAGTCTGAGCAGCACAGGCGTAGAGCTTCTGCAGCTGGACCAAATTCCTCTTTTAGCTGAGGCCTGACTTCAATAATTCCTCCTTTTTTTAATATAAGGTTATTGGTGCAAAACAGATGAGCCAGTGAAACAATCTACCATACGTAAATGTTTTCCATAAGAGGTGATTTTGAAAGGAATCCTGCCATATGCAGGGCACACCTGTAATCCCAGAGGCTTGGGAGGTTGAGACAGAAGGACCTCAAGTTTGAGGCCAGCCTCAGCACCCAGTGAGGACCTATCTCAAGGACTGAGGATGTGGCTCAGTGGTTGAGCATCCCTGGATTCAGTCCCTGTTGCCATAATAAATTTATAAACAGAAAGGGCTGGGGATGTAGCTCAGTGGTCAGGTGCTTCTGGATTCAGTACCTGTTAATTAGAGAAAGGGAATCCATGCTGGAGAAGTGGAGGGTTTTCGCAGTAGGCACAAGGCCCTCGTTCCATCCCCCTCAAGGAAAAAAAAATCACAAATCAATGAAAAGGATTGTGCAGGACCATGCCATGAATAATTTTAGCCCAACTGGTTGTAGTTTCTGGGGACATTTGTTTTAGACCCCTCTGTCACACTGAACTACAAATTAATTCCAGATGAACCTTTGAAGCCATATAAAAACTCAGGTTGAGGACTTTTCCAGTTCAGAAGTAGGAGAAATGAATTTCCAGAGAAAGAGGTTTAACACTCCCAGGACCCCCCGCCAGCCCCTGCTGGTTAATGTGATTAAAGAAAATGGTAAAAAGGCAAAAGATAATCACACTGGAATAARCACATTAAAATCAAGGTATTTATTACACAAGACTGGTGGATGGCCGGGAGAAATGTGAAGCCAGGTGGACTCTTACTGGCTCCTGAAATGTGGAAAGACCGGGGAGCCCAGAGCATAGTTAAGTGAAAAGAAGCAGGAGGTGAAGTCTCTGCGGCCACCTGCCTGTAACCACCAGCCTGTAACCGAGTAAAGCAGGACGGCTCCACCCAGGGGCCTGGGGACAGAGTGTCCCCAAGGACAGCCATGTTACCTCTGGGTTTGAAGAAGTAGGTGGGGTTCGGGCTTGTTTCCTTTCTCTGCTTTGTTCAAATTTGTGATTATGATCATAGTGAAATAAATTAATTTTTGAAAAATAATCTCTGGCTTTTTGAAATTTAGAATTGCCAGGGATGAGCAGACCCTGAGCCCTTCCCTGAGGACACGTTCCCTTCTTGGCCCGGTGGTGCCCGGGGCAGTGTCCTCTAGCAGGAGCTACTACTTCCTCCCTGGTGGGGAAGAGACCGCAGCAGGTGCCGGGGCGAAACATGCTCCGCCAAAGAAGCCAACTGTAAGTGGCGGGCGGGGGACACTGGGCTGACTCGGCACAACCCAGGTCCTACAAGACAGAGAATGAAAAATAAAAAGTCTTCCCTCTGTGCGGACCTCCTGGTTTAGTCTCCAGTGTATTGTAGAGCCCCAAATTCCTTTTGCCTCTAGGATGTGGTGGCGCATACCTGTAATCCCAGCAACTGGGGAGGCTGAGGCAAGAGGCCAGCCTCAGCAACTTAGCAAGACCCTATGTCAAAATAAAAAACAGTAGTAATAAATAGGGCTGGGGGGCTGGGGCTCAGAGGTTGAGTGCTCGCCTCACATGCGTGAGGCACTGGGTTTGATCCTCAGCACCATATAAAAATAAAGGTATGTGTTCTCCTACAACTAAAAAATAAAAGTCTTGGGGTTGGGGTTGTGGCTCAGTGGCAGAGYGCTTGCCTCACAAATATGAGGCACTGGGTTTGATCCTTAGCACCACATAAAAATAAATAAACAAAGATATTGTGCCCATGAATAACTAAAAAAATTTTTCTTAAAAAGTCTTAAAAATGTTTTAAAGGGCTGGGGGTGCAGCTTAGTGGTAGAGCCCCCAGGCCCAGTTTCCAGCACCCAAAATAAAGAAAATGATAAAAAGGGACCTGCAGCCCTGAGCCAGGGCCACTCAGCCAAGCCACTCCCAGATACAGAGCTACAGGGACTTTGAGAAATCAATGTTTGCTGTTCACGTGTTAAATGGGGTCATGTGCTACTTACTCAGCAATAACTATTCCATGCACTGAATAATTAGACTCGCCACAACTACATGAGGAAGACAGAACTCTCTCATCCTACAGATGAGGAAACCAGGCCAGAATGGTTGCACAGAGGACAGTGGTGGGTCCACAGAAACTGCACCATCTTCCAGTCAGGGGCCATCCACTTACTGACAGCAGCCTGCTCCTCGTCACCCTCTGATGGGTCCTTCCTGTGGCCACTGGGTGACAAAAAGTTAAGAGATCAATTCTCAAACCCAGGAACATATGTGGTTCCCACAAGAGCACAGAGAAGTTATCAAGATGAAATGCTGATTATACAACAGGCACCTCCCTCCAAGGGGAATTAGAGGTGGGGTGCAGCTTAGCACGCATGAGGCCCTGGGTTCCCTCCCCTGCACCAAAACAACAGCAAGGAGAGAGAATTCATCTACTCTGTCAACCCAGAGATCCCGACAGAAGCAGGGTGGGATGACCTGGGGTGGGAGGGGAGCCCTGGAGTCTGGGTGTCGGCCTCAACACTGTCCACTCTGCAGCCAGCTCCATCAGCCCCAAATTGGATCCTTCCCTCAAAAATAAGCCATGACAGCATCATTTCACCACAGATGCTTATTTTTTAAATATGGTGAAAGTGCTGACTGGATAAAGATTTTTGTCAGACTGCAGACTTTAAAAAAGCATTTAATTCAATCTGGCATCCCAGACGGAATATAAATCTGCTACAAAGTGAAGTTGATGGGCAAATGTGAGATGCTCCAGCCCAAGTATTTTATCCAAATGCATCACACAACCAATCCACGGAGCCCGAAATAAAAAACAGCACGAACAGATGTACCTAAGCAGAGAAGACAGGGACAGCAGGCCTCCCGTCTCGCTCCTGTCTCCATTCTGCATCAACAAGCCTGAGACGCCAACTCTTCTGGAGAAGCCCCAGGCCTGGTGCTCACTGCACAATCTTCCAAGCATCATGGGCTTGTTCATCCTATTGAAGATGTTACCATCTCAGACCCAGTCTCTCAAGTTGTCCAAATCATCAAAAAATAACTGGGTGCAGGAGAGCCCCAYTATAAGAAAAAGACGACAAAGACATATCTAAACATTCAGTGTGGGGCTGGGGATGCAGCCCAGTCRGTAGAGTGTTTGCCTCACATGCACAAGGCCCTGGGTTCAATTCCAGCACCATGGGGGGGGGGGACAAAACATTCAGTGTGTTGTAATCTCTCAATGTTGTATAGAAATAAAACAATGGCAGCCAGGTGCAGTGAAGCATGCTTGTAATCCCAGCAACTCGGGAAGCTGAGGCAGGAGGACTTCAAGTTTGAGGCCACCGGCCTCAGCAACTTATCGAGACCCTCAGCAATTTAGCAAGACTCAGTTCTCAACATAAAAAAATAAAAAGGACTGGGGATGTAACTCGGTGATAAAGCACCCCTGGGTTTAATACTTAGTACCAAAAAAAAAAAAAATGATTCCATTATGGATCAAAGGACATTAGGCAGGAGAGGACACTCCTCTTACTGAAAACTCAAATCTTGTCTTCTTGCAGCTGGGAGTGATACCCAGGTGCAGTGGTACATATCCATAATCCTGGCCACYCAGGAGGCCAAGACAGGAAGATCACACATTAGAGGCCAGCCTGGGCAACTCAGCAAGACTTTGTCTCAAAATAAAACTTCARAAATGCTGGGGGTGTAGCTCAGTTGCATAGTTCTTGCCTAGAGTATGTGAGACCCTGGGTTTGATCCCCAAGAGAAAAAGAAATGTACGTGATGATCTCCTTACACCAAATGGGTTTAAGTTCAAACAGATCTGTTGGGAAAAGAAGAGGTGCCCAGAAGTGCCYGCTATGAGGCACTCTGGTAGACTAAAGACAGCCCAAAAATCAGCTCTCCAGATGTGCGGTCTCCATCTCCTTCCCTGGAACCAGGGCTGGCTCTGGGATTGTTTGGACCAAAAGAAAAAGGCAAAGYGTGGCTGTGCCATTTTCTGGGTGCAGGCTGGAAGAGATTGGCAGATCCTGCCACCTGTCATGGAACCCAGCCACCGTKCTGGGAGGAAGGCCTGTGGAGAGGCTCTGGAGAGCAGAACCGAAGCCCCTGGCAGAGCTGCCTGCACCAGCCAGAAAGTGAGCCATCTTGGAAAGAGGACCCCAGCCCCCAACCCCCTCATCAACCTCACGGGGAGCAGAGATGGGCTGTGACGACCCAGCCCTGCCCCAACTCCAGACACATGGGCTACATGAATGATGGCTGCCRTTCCAAGCCACCTTGTCGGGGGGTTCGATCACACCCCATAGACCTCCGAACAGATTAGAGCTAACAAGGACATGGGGCAGAACACAAAGGCGGCTGCAGGGAAGGGACGTTTGCGAAAGCAGATATGACATCCATGTGAGCAACTGTTAACAATGACATGCATTCCAAAGAAAATGGCAGAGCACACTGTGAAGGTACACTGAGGGCCACCGATAGTGTCGCATCGTTAACGTACCTACACGGAGAAAAACAATTAAGAGAAAAGCGAGAGGAAAAGACGCGTGTGCAGGTAAAAGGAGGAGCGGGCTGGACTCGGCTCATGTCGTGGTCACCTGAAATTAAGAGTAAATCCCAGGTGGCCTGCTAGCTACACACACACATGAGCAGCAAGAGGAACAGGGACCTCGCGGAGATCAGCACCCTGCACCTAAGAGGGATCCCACGCAGGGAAACTGAGCTGCTCAGCACACGTTCATGATCAGAGGACACCAGGCGACAGAGGACACTCCTCCTTTTATTGTAAACTCAAATCTTGTCTCCTTGTGGCTGGCAGGAGTCATCTTGCCCACTGCACAGGATGATGCCAACATGCTGAGGAAATAAAGCAAGGCACAGAAAGTCCCTCCAAGCTCTTCCACAGGATTGGAGCCACTAACCCAGCAAGGCCATGCTAACAAAAGCCAGTTGTGTGAGCTAGGAAGCCCCTTCTCCTGGGCTGGGCCGAGTTTGTCCTGACACGTAACAAGGTGCTTTCCTCCTGCACAGCGTGAACTCAAGCTGCCTCTCACTTCTCTCTCTCTCTCTCTCTCTCTCTCTCTCTATTGCACACATACACACACGCACGTGCCCACTCAACAAACATTTGCTGATTGCCAACTATGTTCAGGCACAGGGCTAGGCCCACATCAGTGGGCGA